TGACTGCAGATCTGCAGCAGCCAATCAAAACAGAATCTGCTCTTTTGTCTGCTTGGTTTTGAAGGGCTCTCTGCCCAAGCCTCATCATGCAACTAATTCAGATGTAACCCCACTTTAAACCACACAGACAATGGCTATTGAGATGAGCTGGGTGCTGATAGGGCTGTCGAGAGTCAGAGTCTAGATGAAATGAACACACGCACAAATACTCTATCTAGCCACACACTGACATATAAAGTGCCATAAATAAAATACAGTGAAAAGTAGTGCAGCGCAGCTATATTTAAATGTGATTTTTGTTTTTGTATCTATTGTACACGTACACGTACACACACACACACACACACACACACACACACACACACACACATACACACACACAAACACACAAACACACACACAGAGCTTTTACTTTCTTTTCGGCATTAGTCTTTCATCTTAAAATGTAAGTGCACCTGGATCAGTTAGGTAATTTTAGGCTGAACTGCTCGACTATAAATCTCAGGGTGTCACTTGAGAAACTTTAGAATTTGCTTCATCCACTTATTCCCTAAAAGTCATAATATTACCAAAATATATATATTTTTTTACTTATTCAATGTGAACTATACTGCTAATGCAAACTGATAAAGATTGCATTTGAAAATGGAGACGTGTCATTCAGCAGTAGGTAATTGCCCCATGTCTCCAGGTGTTTTTCATAAGACACCTAAAAAATTCACATAGCTTCACTGTTTAATAAATGATTTGTACTGTATTATCGAATCAATTGGTAAATGGGGGAAAAAAAATTCATTAATTTAATCACCACTTCACTGGCAAAATATTTGGCAAAAGAACAGTGACTTCACTGTCAGACCGAAGGCTCTGTTCATTGTGTCATTCACCTGTCTGCTCTCCTGCAGCTGACTTTGTCTCCACCTCTCTCTTCTCCTCTGCCTCCTCCTCAGACACTTAATCCTGTTCTTCTCTCTTTTACTCATCCTCCTCTCCCCGAAAGGAACACAAGGCGGCACCACTGCCGGGGTCATGGTTTGACTCATCACCTCCATCACACCGCTGCCTTCTTCCTCGCCATCTTCCACGTCTTCCTCTTCTTCTTCTTCCTCCTCCTCTTCATCCTCCTCCTCCTCTTCCTCCTCTTCTCCTAACTCTGAGCTAGTGAGGGATGGGATGTGCATCTGAGTATGATGGCTTTGCGATGGACGTCCAGTTGCTGCCCCTGTTCGCACCTCCACCCAGAATGGATCCAGCTCTCTGGGTGAACTAAATGGATAGCGGTCTCCTGCAGCTGCCCTGGATGAAAGTCTCTGAGGTGACAGAGGTGTGGATCTGGATTGGATAGGAAGCTGAGGGAGAGAGGAAGACATGGACCTCATTGCAGGCCGAGGGGACTGAGCATTTAAATTGGTGGTGTTGGTCCGGGAGAAGCCAATACTGTGTGGTCTAGGACACGTGTGTCCTCTCTGCAAGTTGTTTGAGCCTTCTCCAACTTCCAAAGCACTGTTTAACTGGATGTCAGAATTACTGCTAGACAAACTTTCAGTGCTTCCTCTTCCCTGACTTTCCTGGGCTCCATCTCCACATGTCTCAGTTCTTCCAGTCTTTCTCTGCCTTTGTTTTCCTCTTTCCTTGCCTCCCACATGTTCCGCATATTGTCTTTCCTCATCCCTTTCTTCGTTTCCCTCTCTCCATCTTCCTCTGTTGTCCTCGCTGCAGGTCTTTCTATGGGCTTTCCTCCCTGGCAAGGCAGGTCTCACCAGATGCTCCACACTGCTGGACCTTCCCTCTCCGGCTGGATCTGCAGTCCGCAGCCTAGGTCTCACAGCCTTGAAACACGGGGTGTAAGTCTCACCGTTGCTGTTTTCTTCACTGGCATCCTCAGTTCCGTGACCTCCAACTCTGCTTGAGACGTTTACCCCAGAGGCTCCCACATGGGAGCTCATGACGGCGCGTTCGAGCCCCTCGGTCACCAGCAGAGCGTATCTGATGCAGCTTCAAACAGCTAGCCCGGTCTTTCCCCTGTCATCTTTCCTTCAGTCTTGTTTCTGCTTCCAACTTCTTCTGGATGTATAGAGATAAGCTCTTTTTTTTTTTTTTTTTTTTAAGAGTTTGAGGGACTGTTCCAGGGCAGAGGAGGTGAGCAGTGTAGCTCTCTGGTCTGGCCTATCCTGCCCCTGTTAGCCCCCTGGGACATTCCACACTGTTGACAAAGACAAAGTCCCTCTGGTGAGCCCCATCACAATAGGTGCACTGTTCATGGCCTCACTATTGTCCTGTGTGACCTATAGAAAACACATTGCTATGCAACCACTGAACACACAAAAATAAGGTGAAAAAGCCAGAGCCACCTTTTTTTTCCTCATGTCCATTACCATGGTGTCAGCTTTTTTTTTCACTCTCCTGTTGATAAGCAGAGAGTGTGTACTTGTGGTTGTTTGTTTGTGTGTGTGTTTGTGTGTGTGTTGGGTGTGTGTGTGTGTGTGTGTGTGTGTGTGTGTGGGGGGTTGTCATAGAAATTTAATTCCTCAGACTCCTCCTTTATTTGATGTCTGATTTTTGTTTCTACTGGTGCGTCTGTGTTCTTGCACCTGTAAGAAACCTCTAGACCCTGAGAAAATCTAAATGTTCTTGATGAAAACGTGTCAGCATAACTTGGTCAACTGCGATTTTTTCCAACAGGGTGCTTTGTTGTTTCTAAATAGAGAATCTACAGGTGAAGAAGGGGAGGATCCTTTATCAGAATAAAAAAAAAAGAGAACAGTAGGGGAAAAAAAGTGTGACATCCAATATTATTTAGGGTTTATGTTTATGTTAGGTTAGATAAAGGTAATATAAACATGGGATTTGCTAAATAAAGTCCAAAATTTGGATTACTGCAATGTCTAATTGTTTCAAAGCAGAACGACATGGATGGGTATTTTTGTACGTCTTGGTCTTTGATAAAATGTGAATGTTCAGTCTTATTTACACAGACACTATGTACAAATACCTACAAAATATTCATTGTGAATAACACAATAACTCACTCTAAGGCATAATCTGTGAGCTGTAGTTTATTGCTGGTCTCTTTTTCCACCACAGCCAGCAAAGGCTACATGACCAACAAGGCAAAGTGGCCCTCTGCCCAGCAGCCCGAAAAGCCCCAGATCGGTTTTCAGACAGACTCTCCATGGTTGTAGCTATTGACTTGTATACTTATAGGAAGGTGCAACTTAGCTGGAGTTTATTGACCAGCACAATTTACTGTGCGCATATGGAAACTAAAATTAAAACATAACTTTATGGCTCAATAGTTAATTTTTTCTGTTTCCTGTTTTTACAGTTGTTAATATAAAGTTTTAAAGGTTGATTTTAGCATTTATATATCAACTTTTTGATTTTACAGTTCTCTGGTTTAAATTTGACTTTTAATTCCATATTCCCTTTTCAAATGGCCACGCCACAATATCCATTTATCTTTTCAATATCCGCTTTCCTTTTTCTCTTTCCCTATTAATTTAAACAATTATGACTTAATTTCCCCTTTTTTAATACTGAGTTCAATTATGCTCCATACTGTGCCCTCAGACAACCAAACCCCCCACCCTCCTCCTTGCCTCCAAAGGTGCGTTTGTTTTCCTCAGTAGCTGTTTTCTGACTCACTGCTGACAGTATTATTTGGCTCAAACATACTCCAATATGAAGCAAAAGCGATAACTGCCCCCCCCCCACACACACACACACACATCCTAACCTCCCCTTCTCTCTCTCTCTCACTCAGACACACACACAGAAATTGCTTCTCACCGCTTCTACCCCAACCCCCCTCTGTCTCACATGACTCTCTCTCTCACACACACACACACACACACACACACACACATCACACGCACAGCAACACCGCAACTGCATCGCGGCTCACGCACACACACACACACACACACACAGAAACTGCTTCTCATCTCCTCTACCGTCCCACCATTTCTCTCTGCAGCCCAACCCCTCATCCATCCTTTCCTCATCCTTCCTACAGTATCTGATTCACCCTATAACTCTACTACTGAAAGAACAGTGTCCGTCGTGTGTTGCAATACCGGCTGTGGACAGCAGATGGCAGCAGCCTTCCTCTGTGCACTGTTGTGGCGCTGTCCCTGGTCCTGATACTACCTTTTCGCTCTCAGTGCTCTGGACATAGGCTGTTACCTTTCTCTCCATCCCGGCTCAAAATACAGAGTTGCATACTTAAACATTCTGTCTGTACTTGTTTCTCAGCTCCTCTTTGAGCTCGTTTTCCTGATTAAAAAAAACCCCACTTCTTTCAGATGAAGTTGGGATTAAACGAGAAGTTCATTGACGTGATGAAAGATCAAGTTAGGCCTGTCCGGTTAATATCACCACCTCGTTCACTCCGCCGACAGATGTGCCTTGTTTTTTTCTATCTTATTATTTTGTAATAAATCAGTTAATAAGTTTTTGTCCTGGCTGACACCTCACCTTTAAGATGTAAACTAAAAAAGTAATCCGCAAAGTGCTATACTCGGTGAGTCCAGAGAGTAAAATAGAGGAGATGGAGCAGGAAAGAAGAGCTCTGCGCCCTCATCGGCTGTCTGCAGTGAAAAACGGAGCAACAAGCAGAGCAGGGGCACAGAACTCCAGGGCGACCTCCTCGCGGTCTGACGTACCCAAAGCTGCTGGTATAAATGAATTCACGGCGTCACCAAGCTCAGATGTTTCGCAGTACCAGTGAGCGCGCCCGACTGTCAACACTCATGGGCTACAACACGCACAACACCCCTCTCTCTCTCACACACACACACACACACACACACTCACACACTCACAAACACGCCTGCGTCATGCGTCCTGGGAGCGACGGCACGAACTCGGTAACTCCGATGGACCCCGGTAAAACGCCCAGCAGCAGCAGCAGTTTGAGAGGCTGACTGTGTCGAGTTTGTGCGTCCAGTAGCGTGTCCCCCCACTGCACTGGGAAAAGTTGCGCTGAGTGTGGTTGCATTATGGATGTTATAACAACAAGCAGCAACGACAGCAACGCGACCAACGGTTACCCTCACGGGGTGGACGTGGTTACCGACTGGGACGGGGGTGAGAATGGCACCGGGTCTGGGTCTCTGCCTGATCTGGAGCTGAGTTACCAGATTATCACCTCTCTACTCCTGGCGTCCCTCATCCTCTGCTCCATATTTGGCAACGCGTGCGTCGTGGCAGCCATCGCCCTGGAGAGATCTCTCCAGAATGTGGCTAACTATCTAATCGGATCCCTGGCCGTGACAGACCTCATGGTATCAGTGCTGGTTCTTCCAATGGCCGCCCTCTACCAAGTTTTGAACAAGTGGACACTGGGACAAGAGATCTGTGATTTATTCATCTCCCTGGATGTACTGTGTTGCACATCATCCATCCTGCATCTGTGCGCAATTGCCTTGGACAGGTACTGGGCCATAACAGACCCCATTGACTATGTAAATAAACGGACACCAAGGCGAGCTGCACTCTTGATTAGTGTGACTTGGCTGGTTGGTTTCTCCATCTCTATTCCGCCTATGTTAGGCTGGAGAAGCGCCGAAGACAGGGCGAACCCCGACGCATGCAGCATCAGCCAGGACCCGGGCTACACCATCTACTCCACATTTGGGGCTTTTTACATCCCCCTTATCCTCATGTTGGTCCTATACGGGCGAATATTCAAGGCTGCTCGGTTTCGGATTCGAAAGACGGTCAAGAAAACCGAGAAGACAAAAACAGTGCCAGATAAGTGCTTGACTGTGTCACCGGCCATCTTCCACAAGAAAACCAACGGGGAGGCCGGGGGCAAAGGCTGGAAGCGCTGCGACGAGTCTAAACCCAGCTCTCCGTGCGTAAACGGCGCGGTGAAGCATGGAGAGGAGGGCGAGTCGCTGGAGATCATAGAAGTTATCAGCAACTCAAAGACGCACCTGCCTCTGCCCAACACCCCTCAGTCCTCGCAGGGCTACGAAAACATGAATGAAAAGAACTCGGGGGCGAAGAGAAAGATCGCGCTGGCCAGAGAACGTAAAACGGTGAAAACGCTGGGGATAATCATGGGAACTTTCATCTTCTGCTGGCTGCCCTTTTTCATCGTCGCACTGGTGTTGCCTTTCTGTGCAGAGAGCTGCTACATGCCCGACTGGCTGGGCGCAGTCATAAACTGGCTGGGCTACTCCAACTCTCTCCTCAACCCCATCATATATGCCTACTTCAACAAAGACTTCCAAAGTGCTTTCAAGAAGATTATAAAATGCAAATTCCACAGACCGTAACCACACACAGCGAAAACATTTGTTTACTTAAATGTGGAGTAAATAAACGGACTGTATGAAACTGCAAAAAAAAAAAAGTAATACAGACTTTCATTCAGGGACAGTCTCTTTTCGGTGTGTGTTTGAGAACCGTGTAAAAAAAAGAAAACCCGGGGTCACTGGCCGCTGATGAAATGAGACAAGACAGGAACTCTCGCTCTTAATGTTAGAGCTCATGTTTATTCAGTGTTGTAGCTACAGTATATAGCCTATGTGCGACGGCAGCCATTGTTGTATTGCCATGCAAGACGTGTCATGTGCTGATTCCATCCATTTTATCATGAGACACGCGGGGTTTGCGTCCTACATCATGAGCTTTGTAGCCACTGAAACAATAAAAGCAATCAAAGTTTGTCCTTAAGAAATATGAGTCTATTTTTATTTAGAAAAGAGGAAAGTAATGAGCCAAGAGGAGATTAGGGCCTACTATGAACAATGACAGTCTCACTTGGGACCCGTCTCGTCATACATCTTCATATGGATCATGAGGAATGAATCATTTACCCTGTTGTTGAGAAAACAAAGCAGCCTACAATTTATCAATCAATGTGACAGGCCACACTGATGATGGGGGGTAGGGGGTGGAGGGTGATCAGGTTGTCAGTGTGTTTGAGGTATGACCACGCTGTCTATCCATCAAATCCATCTCAAAGTCGAAAGCAAGAGAGATGGTCAATTTGTTCTAAAATGGGGGCATGGAGGCTGGTATTACATTTATAATGTAATATGTTCACAACCCCCCCCTTCTTACTCCAGCTCCCCACCACCCTTTCTTTCTATTTATGACTGCCAGATTGCCCTGTGTGTGTGTGTGTGTGTGTGTGAGAGAGAGAGAGAGAGAGAGAGAGAGAGAGAGAGAGAGAGAGAGAGAGAGAACAGACTGCAAGGATTGCTCCAGAGAAAAATCAAGGGAGAGCGTCGAACATTTTTTTGTCTGTATTAGATTATTGTACAATACCATTCTCCATATAGTCCTAATGTGCATTGAGTGTTTGAGAGGACGGCTTGTTACATCATTAACATCAAGTAAAATCTGTGCTAAATTTAGTAAACAGACTCACAAAAGCACATAATGTCAAGGTTTCAACAGAAAAATAGGCCACACAATACAAAGAGTTGCAGGAAACCTCCTCACTGTGTAACTGCTCTCATCTATCAAACGAATCCCAGACACAAATCCACTTACACATGATACAAAGATAAAGACTGTCAGACATTAAACGGGGAAGGAGGAAAACAACTATCAGGAAGAGGGCCCAGCGAGGCCTGCATGCTTCACAAGATGGGTGGCTATTTGGCTCGTTGTCATGGCAACACGTCAAGCCCAAGGCATCATGGGTCAGTCACAGTGCCGGGCGGGAAGCCTGGCTGAGCACAGGAACAAAACCGCGAGCCACAGTGAGACACAGAGATGACACCTGTAGCATGCAAACATGCTCCGCAGAGGTGGTGTCATACTCAGCAGGGTGCATGGAGGCCTATGTCACAGAAAACACAATTAACAACTTGTTTGTTGTTTCATAATGAATCCATGGCAGCAGCACTTCTCATTTAGGGCTAAGCATTCATAAGCAGTAGACTTTATAAACCATTAAAAATTATTTATATCAGTACAATTTAGTTCTAGTTAAATTTGTCAACAACCATAACTCCTCCTGTGCAGCATCTGTAACCACTGTTTAAACAGTTAATGACTGATTGATAATACAGTGTAACACAGATATACGTGATTACGTATGTAAACAAATCCTTAATGTATGTTTTGAGTCATTATTGACATGCAGGTTTAAAACTGTTTGGCTCAAGACTCATGAGTGTGAAGCTTCAGTATAGTTTGACAAAAAAAACATATCTTTTGCTCAGCTGTGATGGGGGATGAAGGAGAGGTTTTTATCAATCAATTGATTATCAATAAAAATAATGAAAAAAACTTATTTATTAATGAATATAATAAATAACTATAATATCTTTAAATTGTTGTAAATGTAAATAAAATAAATACATCATATTCATTTTATTAATTATATTTATCATTAACATAAAGACCTATCTAATATTACTACAACTGCATTATATCGTATCATATCAGAGTGATGGTGACGTCTCAGTATTTACAGTAACAGCTGTACTAGAGCAGAAATGATGAGGCACTTAGTTGATAGTCAAACAACATTCGATCCAAATTACTCTTCAACTATTCTGACAATTAAACATTTCCTTGTTCCTTCTCAATTGAGAGGTTTTAATGTTTTTCTCTGGGACTGTTGATCAGGTAAAAAGACTGACTTCAAATAACATTTCATATTTTCTGACAAAATGCACTTAATGACACTGTGCACTTGGTTTTCTTACCAAATGTTGAAGATAATCAAACACAGCCCTTCATACAAAACCACAACCAGCACTGATTTTAGTTACAGGACCTTAACCTTAACCCAAATTCAAGTTCCATAAAGGCACAAGTCATAAAAAGTTTGAGCTTGTGTGTGGGGAAAATTGAGCTGGAAGGAGATAGTCATGAAAAACCCCCCCATTTCTCCAAGGGTACCACGTGTTTTCTTTCTCCATCTGATTACTTTATCTCTGTGGTGCAGCATCAGTGCGACATCAATGCCATCAAAATGCTTTTGGGAAAATTAATCTCATACCTGTGACTTGTAGGTCAAGTTCTGGGCTTATGACGGGCTCAGAGAGGCCCATAGCGAATGTGGTGGGAGCTGCTGAGCAGGGTAGAGTATATTTCTCAATTGTGAGTCAGACTGTGTGTTAAGACCATTAAAATCATTACATTTTGGTCCTGATAGATAGATATGGGATTACAAAGCAGCTGACCCATTTTGAACTATGTCGTAATATCAAAGGTTTGGATTGTAAAACTGCATTAATCCCACTCACTCTGGGACTCTTAAATGTAGTATAAGTAGGTGGGTGCAGTGTGACGATGCAGGAGATTTTCCTTCAACCATAGGAGAGGAGAGGAGAGGAGAGGAGAGGAGAGGAGAGGAGAGGAAGATTATATAAAATGGTACTACTAACATGGGGATTACAGGGTTATTGCATGTGTGCCAATGCCCTCTGGCCTAAAACTGGGGGAAAAACTGTATCAGATTCTGCCCATATACAGTGAGGTGTTACTGGTCCTATAGAAGCATTTTAGGATGGATGAACAGAGGGTTAAAGAACAGCCAAGTACAAATGCAGAGCTCTTGTTTCAACACATTTGTAGACACTGAAAAGTGGCGTCAACGTCTTCGTCTGACAACACACGAGATATTAAACAGATACAGATGTCGCGTTAGAAAAGTAGGACAAGAAATAACAGATGTTATTCCAAAGGCAGCCCTGTTCATTTTAAAGTGACATTTAATTTGGCTACATAATTGTTTTCACTGTGATTGATTCTACAGATCAATATCAAAACAACAGCTGCCACCTGAAAATGTGGCAACTGTTAAATATCATTACCGGCATTGTGGCTTTCATGTAAATGTTAGCTTTTTAAAAAGTGATAACATGTAAGCTGCACAGGCACTCAAAAAAGTACATGTACTTAATATCAATTACTTTATTAATGTACTTTATTTTATATGTACTTATTTTATTATTAAACTTGCATGATCAGGCCTTTTTGAGATGGAACAGTAAAACAGTTGTGAACTAACCAAGGGATCCAATACTATAGATTTTAGGTGATCAGATAAGCTGTACTTGACTGTAGTGACCATTTCAAAAATTTAGGGAACCTGAAAGGAAATAGGCTCAGGTAGCATATACTGTAAACTGACTCAATACGAATATTTATCTCCATTTCAAAATTAACATTGGTAATTAAAATAGGCCAGTTGACTAACTGAAGCCTGTCATAGTGAAGGGGCTCAAAAGGGAGTCTTAAAATAAACCTACAAATCTAGGCTGCTTTCAAAGGAAGGAGGACTGCTTTGGTGATATTTTCATAAATGATAAGCACAGTCTAAAAATACAGTATTTGTTGCATAAGGATTTCTTTCTGACACTGATGATGAAATCCACTGGAATACATTTTTACAGCAGACAACAGTAGAATAAGAGGTTTGAGACTGTATCTGTTACCCAACACCATGATGTGTTTTTTTTTGGTGTTTGTTCCATTAAAAGTACATACAGGACACATTTACAGAAGTTATTTGATGCTAGCAAAGGACACACACATAAATGTGTAGATATGCATATAGTTTTTAAAAGTTTGCTTATATCATTGTCATTTGTTCAATGTATGTAATGTATGACTTGACAACAAATCAATCTCAAACATCCTTTATCCTGAAGCTGTATTCACTACTGGCATTAGGGCTTTATGCAGGTTTGTTCTTTTGAAAACAATCCTATAAAATACAGAAAGTTTGAAAAATGTTAATCTATTCTAGTCTGTATTGATGTTTGCTTCTTTGGGCATAGTGTTAAGTGTGTTCATCTGTGTGTGGCTGCAACATAGAGAAGAAGAGTGAATGAGCAGAACGCAACACAGAAATACCAGTGAAGAGAAAACTGGGGAAGGGAAAAAAGGTTTTAAAAGACAATGGGAAGAGGAAAGGGGCAAAGACAAGGAGAAAGGATGAGAGAAATATGACTGAACACTCAACACAACACATGTTTCTGCTTCTCCCCCTCCTACTTCAGGGTCTTTTTGATCTGTCAGAGTTTTTTTTTTTTATTTTTAAGGATCTCACAGCCCACGGCCTGTCACACGCTGGAGGCTCTCTCTCTCTCTCTCTCTCTCTCTATGTCTGAGAGAGAGGAAGGAAGGGAAGAGCACCGGAAAACTCCTTTTGACATGGAGAAATGAGGCTTTAGGGCACTCTCAGATATGGTGATTTTTTTTTTTTTTTTACTACAGAGGTTAGTTTTCCTCATTTAGAAAAGCATGCATCCTTTCTGTTTTACGGTATTGTCCAAACATTGATGGATGAGATTGCCCCTTTTTTTTCTTGCACACACAAAAACTCATCCCTGTGATGGAGGGCAGGCATCATGTGCTCAAGGACAACAGCTAACAGAAAAAAAGGTA